CTCCCTTCTACGTTTTTCTTTTCTAAAAATCTGAAAAACAAGTTTTATATTCTATTAAAAGGAATTTTTAACTGAATCAAATTTCAATTAATAAATTCATTAACAATGTCTATAAACTGAGTAAATGAAATATTCCCTAATTCCAGCGTTTTAATACAAATATACTCACTTAGTTGAGTTAGTTCTTTTGATTCTTCAAATCTAAGATAATTTGGATTTAAGTCTCCAACTCTACACCTATCAAGAGCATCTGAGTCTTTGAGTATCGAGACTACAATATAGTCATCTTCATTTGGTTTACTTTCTCCTGTACAATGTTTAATAACAGCACTCTTGATATAGTTTTGTTCTGTTTCTGAAATAGAATATTTTACGATATGATTTTTTAACAAATTAAATTTTGTTTTTACAGCTAATGAACCATGTTCAGTACAAATTCCATCTCTTTTTCTTGCCATATCATGAATAAGAGAACCACACGAAGCCAATAATCCAAATCTTCTGTTTTGTGTGTAATAGCCAATAATTAAAGAAAATAATACAACTCTATATGTATGAATTAATCCATGAATACTATTTGGGTGATCAAAGTATGTGTCTGAAATATCAAAATCAGATAATACTATTCCCATACTTTTCACAATAGATTTGACTGACTCTTTATACCATTTAAATGGCTTATGAAGTAATTGAACAGATTTAATTGTCAAGTTTTGTAGTTGAGAAAATAATAAGTCTTTATTTGTTTTAATAAAATGAAGTATTTCGCATAAATATAAACTTTTATAGACACAGCAAGAATTATAAATTTTTACATCACATCCTTCAGTTTCTATGAAATGATTCTTTACACTAATTTCAATCCATTGAATTAAATCTTGAGGAATAACTATTTTATCTATTTGAAGTATTTGACAAATGTAATTAATAATAAATTGTCTGTATTGAATTGCATTATCTAAATTATTACAAATCACTTGATTTTGGATACAACAAAGACTAGTTATATTATTTTCTTTTTCTAAACCCTTTTCAAGAATAAATGAATTTAAACATGGAATTATGAATTGATCATATTGCTTATATCCAAAGTCATGAAGGTAAATTGGGTCTAAATGAAATAATTTTCTTTTTACAGCAATATATTCTTTGTCAAGTAATGTTATAAGAAGTTCATAGACTTCATTAGAGGTATTAAGAGAGATAATTCTTCTTTCAATAAGTATAAACTTATTAGTTAGAATAATGACCATTTTACCTTATTGAGGATTTTATTATTTTTAAGTTCTTTAACTATTACGACAATTTTGAATCTTCCTTAACTTGTTAGATGCAAAAACTAAAATTACAAAAGATAAACAAAATCATATCTAATCTAAATAAGACTTTTCTTCTTCAAGTTGTTTTGGAGTAAGTTTTTGAAGGAAATATCCAATACCTATCATAATATCTGTTACTATACAGAAAGATATATCAAAACATACTTTTGGTGTAAAAATTCTGAAGATTTCTAAATGTCCAGATACAAAGTAAGTAAAGAACATTATAGGAACTAATTGGTATATAAACATAGTTGTGAGACATAAAGAACTTTGAATATACAAAGACGTCCCAGTAGGATGAGACTTTAAAATTATTAACAACCCAAAAATAATACTGATACTTGGGAAGAAGAATGTATTCAAAATGACCAAAAATCCATTTCCAAAGAATGAATAGAATGGTATTCCAATAAATCCAGCATTAAATTGAATATCACTAAATTGGAATGCATGTCCACTTAAGAAGAAGAAATGAATTCCAAAGAAGAAAAATACAAGAAGTACTCCTAATTTGAATGAATATTTCTTGAAATACCATATTAAAAATATAAAAAATATAATAGTTATTCCCATATTTAATGGTAATATTACACTTAGAACAGGTATTAGTGAATACAAACAATCAACATCTTTTTTTCGTATAAGAATCACCATTTTTATTAAGCCTAACAGATAGATCAAATCAGGGATTAAAATAGTCATTAAAGGAATAGATGAACTTTCTATTAAATGATATATGAATGATAATAACATTGCAAGAGATAATAAAACGTCGTGTTTGTAAAAATAAAACATCAATAAAAGTGAAAAAATACAAATATATCCAACAAATTGGCATACAAGATAATTCCAGTTGGACAATAAATAACAAAAAACTAATTCCGTAATTGGAAATTGTTTTGTTTCTAACCAATTAAAATATGTCAATGCGATAAAAGAACATATCCCAACATAAAATGATGTGTATTTTTCTTCTTTAATAAAAGAGTCTGTGCATTGTCCAAACCCATAAATAAGAGTAACAACAGCAATTATTAACAAATCAAAAGGAATGATTGTTGTTAGTGTTTTTAAAGTAAATGGAACCTTAAGAAATGATATAAAACATCCAATAATATAACAAACTTCTGAACAAATCATCATTCCTATAAGCAAACATTCCAAAAAACTAAAACTGGAAGTTGTGACTAGTACTAATCCTAAGAAAATTCCAATAAACAATCCAAATATTAATGACTTATATGGAACGATTGAATCTTTTGGAAGCAATAATGTAAGCAATGAAACAAATAATGACAAAACAGTAATGATAATACCAGCTAACATATAATTGAATTTG